CACCGAATGATCACCATCTCTCAATGGCTCCTTACCCTTTCACCACTCCGCCTTTCTGACACATTAATTCTCACTTTTCCCAGTTGACGTCTGATAGGTCCCTTGGGAATCTAAGCCCAAAATCCTCACGGGGTCCCTCTGTAGCTTCTTTGGTGCCTGAAACTCTTACTAATAGATAATAAGTAAACGGCATCGACCTGTTCATTTCTCCGTTTTCCAGTCACATAAAAGTGTCCAGCAAGCCCACACCAAATTCTGAATCCCGGGGTCACAATGGCCAACCTGGACACAACACTAGTGATCCCCACCGTCCCTCCAGCTGCACCTGAATGTTATTAATCCATTAAAACAACCCGTGGCTTCCTTCCTCTCCAAACCAATTCGACTCCGTTTTATCAGATTTTGGAGACACTCCAACTGCTTTCTAATATCTACATGGTGTTGCCTCCTAGCCCCGTCTGTAATGTGCTTGTAAATGCTATTACACTTGTCGGACATGGTTTATTTTCAATAACCTCACAGCTTTTTCCTTTCTTTTTTGGAATGCCACAGCCCTCTATATGTTAGCTTATTCTTTGCTTGTTTATAGAGTGCACAACGCACCTGCCCCCCGCTGCCCTGGAGTGCCATGCACTTGATTTCTGGATAAGAGATGGACACGGATGAGGGACAGGTCCCTGGGGGAAGGAAGGTTGGATGAGGAAGGGTGGTAGGAAGGGAGAGAGGATAAACCCAAACACTTTCCCATTACAGTGTGCAACCATGTGTATTTTTTAATCGGTTCTCATTTAGGAACACAAACGTACTTAAAACAGTCCTACCTAAACCCTCGAATGGCCACATGTATTAGTGTCACCTGTTAGAAATTTTCGTTTTAAATCTCCTTCTGGTGGCAGGGAATCAACTTCCAACAAGGAGAAAAAGTAGACTCATCACCAAAGCTCAGCCATCTCACTGCCAATTCCTAACTGAACTCCCCACCGATGCTCCCTTGGCCTGTGTGCCTACACCAGTGCCGAGGCCAGTCCTGGACAAGGATCCGGTAAGAATCAAGTCCCCCTGTGCACTAGTCCCCTATTCACTCTGCATGCACCACCTTTAGTCTTCACAGCATCCAGTGAGGCAGCTATAACTATCCTCTCTTACAAATGAGAAGCTGGGGATCCGAGAAGAGGAATGAAGTGCCCTTGCTGGCAAAGCTAGAGAGAGAAGCAGTGGCAGGATTCAAACTTAGGACTTCAGACTCCAAAGCTCATCCTCATTTCTCTCTGTCAGGCTGCCTCTCGACTTAAACTCCCGTATCGCTCACCACGGTTGCCAAGAGACGCCACCATCTCTTCATCCTCATCATCAATAAATATTTATCAAGGGCCCACCACCTACATGGCACTGCTCGTTTCCACAGCAACACAGTCGGAGAGTCATGGGAGTATCCCATGCTTAAAAGAACAATGCTGTAATGCCCTGTGATCATGGCTCTGAAAGGTGACGGTTACACACGACAGCAGACGCCTCTCGGCTGGCAGCTCAGACAGAACCTGCAGGAGCTGTGCCGGGGAAAAGCAAGAAGAAATTAAGTGCAGGAGAAAGAAAGGCAGCGCGTTGTAACCCAAGAAGATGGTCTGCTTTCACTAGGAATGTGTTTGCAATTGCTGCTGAAACAGGATCCAAGCCAGGTTTGCACGTTAATTGTTCTTTTATTAGGAAACAAATCGAGCAATCCACGACCGAAAGTAAAATCTGACTGTACTGCTAACAGTTCCCCAGAGGTCTCTGGCAATGATTATCGAGTGAAATGACTACACTGCTAACAACTGCAATCGCAAGTCAGCCCCCTCTAGGATCCATTTTTGCTCTCAATGTATGAAGGCTGATACCCAGTAGTAAATGGACCAATTACCCCCTTATCCATTTGTTTAACTGTTTCCCTCTTAACCCATCCTAGATCATGTTTTGCCACACTCTGAACACGCTGAATTTAAATGCTTTTTTACTATCATTCCTTACAAAAATCGTCCTGTCTCGTAAAACATGTCTTAGAGTAAGGGAGAATGACAGGCTTACACCATGGACTTCCGGACACAGTGACCAACATGGTACAGCAAAACATACCACCCCAACTGTGTGCTAAACGGAAGCTTACAGATATGACATTGCTTTCCAGAGTGGGAATTTTCATATTAAAAGAATATAGAGAGCATGCCATTGAATTTAAAATGTATTATTTACCCAAACTTGACAAAAGTTTTAAATAAGAGGCTTTAAAGGAAATCAAGCTATTGTTATATGTATGCTTGATATGGATTCCAACAATTTCTGTATTTAGAAAGAAATGTAAAATAGAAGTCCATTTTTAAAGGTCAACATTTGCAGCATTCCTGCATCTACAAATGTGGATGTTCATGAGGGAACCTGGGAAAATCATCTAATTTAAATAGTTTGGTTAGCCTTAAACCAGAATGAATAGATTATACTGGAAATCCCCATTTTTACAAATGAGGCTTAGAATACACCCCGTCTCCAAAACAATCTACTCCCACTCATTGAAGGAGCCCTTGGAACAAACGCAGTCGCTTGCTCAGTACATGCTATAGTAGATTTGCAGAAGCCACCGGGCTCAGGTAGAACCCAAGGAAACATATGGTGACTTAACAGCCGATTTCTTCCCAAACTGTACTCCAGCATTGCTTTTCTTTCCCCTGTGTTCCAAAGACCAAACAAAAGAAAAGGTGCTTGCTCCTCACACTTCTCTAATGTTTTAACAAAAGGCTGCTGAATAAACACATTACTCATTTAAAAATTGAAAAGAAGTTCTATTCCAGAGATGAAAGCGACTAGATTTGCATTTTAACAGTTGTGGGCGAGCGCCACCTGGCGGGAGCCTCCTGAACCGGCGTGCTTTCAGCACCGAACTGGTCCCCAAGCCGCTACGGTTTTACCGCACACTAACCCAAGAGCGGATTCAGTGAGACCCATGGTGGAATATTTCTGGTACTGTTTTTGCTGCGAGAACGTGAGCACACACTATTAATGTGGGTCAGGACTTGGAGCACAGGAAAATCTAAGTCACAAATCATGCCCGGGCCCACAGGACTGTCACCAGCAGCCGCCTCCCTTCCCTCCTTCGCACGCCTAGTACGGACCCAAAAACCTGGAAACGAAGACTGGAGCACCATCTTTAGAACAGAGCCGTGGTTGTCCCTCTTCTCTCCCTTGCTAATCCGACCTCTCATCTTCACACGCCTCGAAGGAGGCGTCCTAGTCGCCTAACTTCTCCGCCACGGAAACAGGCTGTCCCCCCTTCACAGAAGTCCCACATTCGGCTCCCATTTCGGTTTGGAGCAAGGGAGACCCCAGTGCATTTCCCATAGAAGGTCACTCCGGCGGTTCTTAACTTCGGAGGCCGCCTGTTTAAAGAGGAAACATTCCCCCAACGCTCCCTGCCTGCCTGTCTGCTGTCTTTTTCTTTCTTCTTTCTTCCTCTCGGCGTGATAATACAATGGGCACCGCTGGTAGTCAGCAATCCAAAAAGCGCCCTTCCAAGTCCCACCTGCTAATCTCAGCCTGTCCCTGTGATCCCAGCAACCTCCCTTCCGTGTGGTCACTCCAAAGCCAACGGGTGCTCAGAAACTTCAAGGTGATTTTGAACTTGGAAGCATACCTTCGCCACTTCTTCCCTTCTCTCCTTCCCGCCACTGCTCTTTTGGGGGTTCAGGACCGGGAACTGCCCGTGGTACAGTTTGGTGGTATGTAAGCCCCTGAATCGTGGGGGTCTCCTGTGCATGCCAACTTACCATCGGGAATATACCAGGGCACCACACACACACACACACACACACACACGCTCAGAATTGCCCCTGCTCACCTTCCTCCCCCTGGTCAAACCCAAATATGAGTCCCCCAAACTTTTCAGGAGCGGACATGCTCACAAGTCAAAGCCACTCTATTAGAAAGGCCGTTAACAGGGCGCCCATTTGCTCTAGAAAAAACAAACAAACACGGGGGGGGGGGTAGAGGTAGGAAGGAGGTTTGCTCGCTCTGTGACGAACACAAACCCCCACAGGTGCAATCGGCGCTTGTTTAAGGACCAGCTTAAGGGCGCAGCGTGTACAGAGATAGTCTCGAGCTTCCTGCACATCCCGGAGAAAAGAAGCCGCAGCCCCGGCAGCCCCGGCAGCCCCGGCAGCCCCGCCTGCTGGCGGCCAGTCCACCGCACGAAAAGCGCGCGCTGCCCGAGAAGCTGCGGGGCGAGAACGCTCCCCGCCGGGCGTCCCAGCTGCTTCTCATCTCGCCGCCCCGAACTCGCAACTGACGGATTCCGACAAGTGGGAGGCGGCAAGTGGAGATATTCGCAACAACCGCGGAAAGTTACTCCAGCCCGTGGGGGGCGGGGGGGTAGGGGGGCCCGGCCGGAAAGTGAAGCGGAGAACTTGGCCAAACGCGCGCGGTCGCGGGACGCGAGGGGCCGGGCTCGCTGGCCCCGGCGCGCCTGGCGGCGGCTGCCGGCATCTGGAGGCCGGGACTCGGGCTCTGGCCACCGAGACCCGAGCCCCCCGCACCCGCACAACTTTCTCCTCCGAGGGTCCCGCGGCGCGTCCCGGGAGGAGCGCGGAGCGGAAAGCGCACTCACCTGCGGCGCTCTGAGCCCGGGCGCCGGGCAGCGGCGGCAGCTGCAGCCGCAGGAGCAGGCTGAGGGCGAGCGCGGCGAGGCTCGCCATCCGGGCGGCGGCGGGCGGCTCAGCCCCTTTCCGCGGGGGCCGGGGCCGGGACTGGGGCGGGCGCGGGGTGGCCCCGCATCGCCGGCGCGGCCGCGGGCTGTGCGCGCCCTGGGCGCCGGGCGGGCTCCGCCGGGTTCCCGGAGTCGGCGCCGCTGCGCTCCAAGCCGAGGCGCGGCGCGAACTGAGGAGGGAGGCTGGGCGGGGGCGGGACGCGGGGGGGTGGGGGGGCGTTCCGGGGGGCGGTGTCCCCCGAGTCCTAACGCCGCCGCCGACGTCGCCCGCCCTGGCGCTCCGCCTGGGCCGCGCACACACCCTCGCGCGCACGCCCGCGCCAGGCACACGCTCGCCCTCAGTGGGGTTGGCCGGCTCGGCGCCTCTCGCACAGTCACGCGCCCACACACATCCCTCCACCCGCACACACACCCGCACGCACACGCCCCGCAGCTTCCTCGCCTCTTTGCCCAGCGCTGCGCCACGCAGCCAAGCATCGTCTGCCGGCTGGGGCGCAGGTACGGGGAGGGGGGGGAGGGAGGAGAGGAGGGAAAAAGGGGAAAAGGGAACAGCTTTTTGAACTCGGAATGGGAGAACAGGTGAGCGAGGGCGGGGGGGGGGGGGGGGGGGGCGGGTAGGTGCGACGGGGGAAAGGGGGGAGGAAGCCAGGTGAATGGGGTGGAGGTCGGGGGTCGGCGGAACGGGCATCTGCCCTAAACTGGGGCAGGCATTTGCTGGCGAGGGTCTCAGGCCCGCCCTGAGATGAGAATTTCACCTAAGAGTCAGCACCTCCCCACCACACACACACACACACACACACACACACACACACACACGCTTCTGGGTTCATGGCTGACCACGCTGCTATCACCAGCCCCCCCACCCCTCCCGCCTCCCATCAGCCGCCCAGGTATCCCTCTTATTCACCTACATCTCTCCCTTGTCCTCACCCCCACGTTGGAGGCACAAAGCGGCACCCCTTTCTCTTGCTACCTTACCCCCTTCCCTTTCTCCAGAAACTGAACCATGTAGCTTTTTCCTTTTTCTTCCTGGTCTGAACAAAGACCTGCTTGGGGCTGAGAACCATAGATCAGAGTCAAAGCTGTCCCTTGGCTGAGACTCTCTGCTCTCCTGGGAGCGGGGCTCATGGACCCTGGCCTGGGGTGGGGGGTGGGGGACTGGGCTCTATAAACCAGGGGCAGGGACACCTGGGCAATGCTCAAGGGACTTACTCCTCGAACGTGGCCAAAGCTTCCTCCTTCTGTGTCAGGACAGCAAGACCGACCCCCCCCCCCCAACCTCATCCTTGTTGGGATTCCAAGAATAGGACTGGACAGACTTTGGGGGCGAGATATGATCAGGCATGGCCAGGATTTCCATAGTGGGGAGCCCCAGTTCTGGATTGAGCTGCTACAGCAGAGAACACCTCTCTCCCCCAGTTTCCACCAGGTGGAGTGGGTCAGTCCCCTTGAAGGAGATCCATTAACACCCCCCACCCCTCACTTGTAATCCTAGGCCCTTGCTTCCATCCTCTGACTCCCACCACTACCCCCACCTTCAAAAGGTGAAGGGCGTGGACTGGTCTATTGGAATAGCCAGTGTGTGTGTGTGTGTGTGTGTGTGTGTGTGTGTGTGTGTCTCACTCACACACACACACACACACACAAACACTGCCAGGCAGGCTTCTCAATGTCCTGGTTCCCAGACCCCTGTCGGGGGAAGTGGGATTGCACAGATGGGGATGGTGGGAACTTTGAGTGGGACCTTTCACAGGCTGCCTCAGGGATTCTTAATAATTCTACAAATACTTAACGGAGCACTTAACCGGGCGCCTTGCTCTGTGCTAAGTCTCTGGGGAAGCAGAGATGAATGGCCCTCAGGACATTTGGAAGGGGAGATCCCTTAGGCTCAGAGCTAAACTGCTGGCTGTTCCCTACCCTCATCCAGGGCCTGCAGAGAGGCCTGACCCCAGCCCATGACGTATGACCCTAGGCACGGCTGACCCCAGCCCATGACCTATGACCCTAGGCATGGCTGATCGCAGGGCACGGCCAGACCTAGGACAGCAGGCCGTTTCTAAGCCAGTAATGAGCTTGGTGTCACACTTCTAACTTGTCCCCTCTCCCTTGGGCTCCTATTCATTCCCTCTCGAGCTTTCTGAGAAGTATAAACAGCAGTTCTCAGTGTCTTCAGAGCACACGCCCTCCTGCACCCTCCTGAGCCTCCCACTATGTTATATCGCTGCCCGAAAAGCTCCCAGGTCTGAATGGGGCTCATGGGGCCCCGAGAAAGGCTCCATTTCAAAGGTCGAGCTGGAGGAGCAAGCCCCAGGCTGTACGTGCCCTCGGCTCCAGGCTGTACGTGCCCAGGGTGCGCCCTGGCCCTCTGTGCTGTCCCAGCCGCCCTGCGCATCCAGAAACGGCCCCTCTCTTCTTTCAGGAGCACCGGCTCTCACCTGCTCCCAGCAGGGCTCTGGCACCAGGCACACCGCTGAGCTTTGGCACCTGCTGTTCCCTCTGCCTGGACCACCCTTCCCAGCATCGTTTCCCAGGTAAACTCACACTGGTCCTTAAGGTTTCCTGTAAATCTTTGGCCAAGACGCACTTCCTGCCCAAGACCTGCTGCCAAGGCCCTGGGCTGGCCGCTGTGGCGATGCTTTTCACACTGTAGGGATGTGGTTTCTCCCCTTGGTCAGTTCCACAAACCCCAGTTCTCACTTGACAGGGCTGCTGGGTGACGGGAGGGAGAGGGCTGGCTCAGGCCACAGATGCCTCAAGCCAGGCCCCCTCTGAACTGGCTTCTCCCCTCCTCCTTCACAGGAGCCCAGTGCCCATTAGAAAAGAGGGGCTGCTTCCCTGTCTGCCCCCATCAGCCTGGGAAGCTCAGGGCTGGGCTCGGCCTCAGTGCTGGAGCCAGGAGCTGGAGCGGGTGCAGTGGCATTCTCCCCCTTTAATTCTGCCCAAGAAGGCAGCCTCTTACCTTGGGGTGGCTCGGCCCTTAACCCTTGGGGACCTTTGGCCAGACCTCTCTGGGCCTCAGTTTCCTTATCTGCAGTGGCCTCCCTTTCAGCCCTGGTCGGGGCCGAGACAGGAGTGGTCAGACATTTTAGCTGCAGATCTCTTCATCCCAGCAGTCTGAGGGGAGGCCTGCACCTCGGGGCATCCTGTCAACAGTCGAGCTTGCGGTCTGCCGCGTGCCAGGGACCGCAGGCTGTGGGCTTGCAGCTTGGAGCTTACAGTGTGGGGAGGAGACTGGACGGAGAGAAGGAGGGAAAGGGCGGGGAGAGGCAGAGATGGCCTCCCTCTGTCCCCCAGCCCCTCCCCTGTCCCCAGGGATAGTCAACCCTCTGGTGGGGAGCAATGCATGGGGCGGGGGAACTGGGGAGACACGCTGGGCCAAGGTGCCTCGCTTCCCCAATGGGAAAGGCAGGTGGCATAGCTACTGTTTTATTCCCATCTTACGAATGAGGAAACTGAGGCTCAAAGAGGGCAACGACCCTGTGTAAGGAGGTGGCCAAGGAATGGCCACTCCACTAGAGAGAGTCTTTTATCTTCTTAGTGCGAAGCAGGCGCCACTAGCCATTTCCATTTAAAAGTTAGAAATTCCATTTTTAGTCATACTAACCACACTTCAGGTGCTCAGTGGCCACGTGTGGCCAGTGGCTGCCATATTGGAGAGCACAGATATAGCACATTTCCATCATCACAGAAAATTCTGTTAGTGCTGCTCAAGACTGCCCATGGCTGCTTTTTCTAGAAAGTTCCAGGTGACTGTGCTGCTCTAGAACAGAGGTCAGCAGACTACTCCCGGTTCGGCCCACCTCCTGGGTTTATAAATAAAGCTTTATTGGAACACATCCTGCGTATTTGTTTACACATTGCCTGTGGCTGCTGTCTGTGCCATAGAGCAGCGCTGAGTCACTGTGGCAGATTCCGGCAATGCCCACAGAAGGAAATGGTTGACTCGTGAGGTTACCCTTGTCTTGCCCTTTACAGAAGTTTGCCGGCCCCCTCTCTCCAGGCAGTCTCACCGCACCGTCTGACAATCATTGGTCTAAAGCTGGTTCTCGGAGTGTGAGCCTTGGACCAGCAGCACCAGCAGCACCTGGGAACCTGTTAGAAATGCACATTTTCAGGCCCCATCCCTGACTTAGGGAATCAGAAATGCTGGCGGTGGGGCCCAGGAACCTGTGTTTTAACCAGCTTCCCTGGACCTTCTGATGCAGACTCAAGTTGAAAACCACTCATCCAAACACCATGCAGGAAAAGCCACCCAGTGACGGGCACAGGGAAGGTGCTGCTCGGCTCCCGTGGGAACAGAGGAGTTTGGAAAGATGTCAGAAGAGTTACAGCCCATTTGCTGCCCGGCCCCTCTGCAGTGATGAGGCCGGCCCACCGCCAGCAGGAGAGGACCTCCCAGCCGCGCCTGTGCCCATGCCCAGGCCCCCTCCCCCCACCCGCCGGCAGCCCCGCCCTCCCGCAGGGTTGTCAGCACATTCAGAGCTGTCTCCACACATAAATTCATGGACCAGCTGTCTCTTTTAATCTGGTTGCAAGATGAAACCATTAATGGATGTCAGACACATTGGCAATGATCTCTTCATTAATTATTTCCTCCTTTCTGAGGAAAAAAAAATTAGTAACAAGCCACCATCAATAATTCAAAAATACAAGTTAACCTTTCTATTAACAGAGTGGCTTCTGCACACACCACGGACTTTTCAGAGCCGGTAGTTCTGGCTTGAATAATGTTTTTATGGCGGGAACATTAGTGCTGTCTGTCAAGACACGCAATTATAAATAACCCACATGCAACTTAGAAACGCTAAGTATTTTTCAAGTGTAACCTCATGAGCCAACCATTTTGCTCTGTAATAACGTGCTGTATCCAGGGATAGGGCTGCGTCCACCAGCAGGACTTGACGGGGGAAGTATTTGCAGGGCGAGGCCCTCGTGGTTAGAAAGATTTCCCTTGTGGCGACCCACTGCTTCGAAGCCGGCTCCTCTCTCTGGGGACACGAAGAAGCCCGATTTTGGTGACTGGTTTGGATGTCAGCAGGCTCTGGGAAGCATCCTCTATCCCTTACACCCTTCCTGCCCCTCCTCTTAGATGATTTTCAGGCCCCCAACACCTCGTTCCTTCTCTAGAACATGCTACGTTTGGGGTGAGGCCTTGCACCTGCCCACATCCCCCAGGCCTCCGTTTACCACCGAGGTGACCATGAACTGCTCTCCTGCTCCAACTCTGTTTCTCCACCTGTGAAATCGGGGTGATTATTTCTACCTCGCTGAGCTGAGTGGGAATTAAGTGAGTTAATGGAGGTGAAACACCTACAAGGCTTGTCCCACTCAAAAGATACTTTCTTTTCTATTCCAAGTCGTAGATTGGCCACACCACCCAGCCTTGACTCCAGGCCAACTGTCGCAGACATCTGGGTGACAACACAGCGTGGAGAGCCAGCTGCTTCGTCCTTGGGCCAGAGCACCAGCACATGGTCCAGACTATTGGCAAGCAGACCTCCGTGCCGGAGAGGTCCTGCATGGAATGCCGGACGGCGGCTCACTTTGCCTAAGTGGGCTCTGCCAGACAGCTGTTTCTCTTAATTAAACACACACACACACACACACACAATTAAGTGATGTGTGCCAGGCACCGTCCATGGGTGTTCATGTCTCTAACCTGTGCCCAGCCTCTTGCTGAGCAGTGGGGATGCCAAGCTGAGAGGTCCCGCCAGCACACAGGGTCAGGGTGGTGGCAGTGTCAGGGTTTGACTAATGGCCTCAAACATGACTAAGATATTGCCCCAGCCTGGACTTCTTGCCTCCAGGAAAGTGGTTCTCTAATGAAGCAGGAAAAAAAGCCTCTGCTCTCCCAGCAGCCTGGTGTCTTGGAGGTGGACTTGGGTCTTGTCAGAGCACTGAGCTCCCCCGGAACTCTCAGCCCCTCTCCTTGTCCCTGACCCCATCCCCAGATTCAGGAGGGTCCCAGGTAGTCAGGGACTCACCAACCACAGGTGGAGTGAATTTGTTGCTTCTCACATCTCCCAGTGAGCTCAGCTCAAACCTCAGCTCCTCTCCGCCTCCTCTCCCCAACCACACCCTACACAGCAGTCAATGAGACCATCATTCCACAGCCTTGTCACCCGCCAGCTTAAAACGCTTTGCGCATGCCCCATGGCCCTCAGAATAAACTCCGTCACTGGCTGGGCCTTGCCTGCCTTTCTGAGCCCATTCCTCCTGAATTCACCTTGAACTCCCCCTGCATGGAGCCCTCACCAGGTAGAGAAGGAACAAAGGGCATTCTGGGAAGCTGGAACAGCTAGGCAAATGTTCACAGATGTGAGAGTCTGAGCATTCAAATAGGACACCTGGAGAGGGTGTGGTGGGCAAGCGGATGGTACTCTCCACATCGGTCCATGGGACACGCCCACTCCAGAACCACTCAGGGTGTTGGTTAGTATCACGTGGAACCGAATCAGAATTTCTAGAGCAGGGGTAGGCAACCTTCTTTCTGCCAAGGGCAAATTGGATATTTATCACATCATTCTCGGACCACACAAAATTATCAACGTAAAAATTAGCCTGCTATATTTGGTCCAACATTTAATTAACTCACCCTTAATGCCTTGGCAGGGCCAGACCAAATGATAAGGCCCGCGGGCCGGACAGTCCCAGCCCTGCTCTAGAGGTTGAGGCTCAGGAGTTTGAGTTTTAACTTGGACACTGGCACGTTGGTGAATGGCTGATCAGTGTCAGGAACAAGGGGAGGTGAGAGCCTCCAGGGACAATGCTGAGCCTTCTGAGGCCAGGTCTGCATCTTGACCGAGTCTGTGTCTCTGGCACCTATAAGGGCTTAGAGCAGTGGTTCTCAACCTTCTGGCCCTTTAAATACAGTTCCTCATGTTGTGACCCAACCATAAAATTACTTTTGTTGCTACTTCATAACTGTAATGTTGCCACTGTTATGAATCATAATGTAAATATCTGATATGCAGGATGGTCTTAGGCGACCCCTGTGAAAGGGTCGTTCGACCGCCAAAGGGGTCGCGACCCACAGGTTGAGAACCCCTGGCTTAGAGGATGAGCACTGAGCCTGGAACACATACATACATTGTACTTTAGGCAAGATTCCTTGAGGCCATCCAACTCCAACAAGCAGTGAAAACACAGGGATCCAGTGATGCATTTAGCTGAACAGCTCATGAGCACGTTCAGGCAAAGCTGGATCCAGGGACTCAATTGCCATTCATTCTCTCTCCCCACCCACCGCTCTCCGTCTTAGTTGTGCTTCTCTCAGTGGGTAGTCAGGGACATTGGACAATGAAAGGTCCATAAATAGTTCTCACAGCTTAGCACTGTCACTAAAAGAGAGAGAGAGGCCACTTGCAACACCCTTGCCAAACTTTAGTGAAGACGCTGGCTGATTAGAGTCACATTCCATTTCCTGAGACAATCAGTTTGGCCAGGGAAGTGGTGGGGAAGACAGTGCTCTCATTGGCCAGCCTCGGTCATTGTTCACCCCTCTATATTGGGGATGGTCACCATAACTGCCCCCCAGTGAAGCCTGATGGAGGGGGGAGGAGTGTTTTCTCCACGGGATCTTGGGTAGTCAGGTGACATCTATCCACCTCACTTATGCATCAAGATGTTCATTAACCTCTTTAATGTGTGGTCTATAAACCTACCCACGCACACAAGGTCTGCCCTCTACTTATCTACCCCTCCTCCCACCCCACACCCCATTCAATTCCCATACCTACATAGATCCCCCCTGAATTTTACACAGCCTCCCTCCCCTTCCTCTGTGCCAAAGCCGAAGTGTTATCCTCAAAATGTTCTCCACCAGCCAGCTACTCCATCGCCAAGCCAGTGAAATAAATAATTCTTTCCATTTCAGAGAATGGCATCTGTTTTAATTTTTTTTTTACTATGCTACACAGAAAGACATTTCACCCAAAATGATAGCAGCAAGCTTCAGCCCCAGAATGTCCCTCGCCCCTCCTGGACCCGACGGGATGATGGGGGAGGAAGCCCAAGCCAACGACATCTTTCCTTGGCTTGACAGGGCAGACTGCTCACGGTTATCCAAGCCATTCTCACGTCAAGGAAGACGTTGATAAATCATTATTTCTCTAAGCTAAAAAAAAAAAAAAAAAGTGCTAATACCTCAAGGCAGAATGAGAGTGAGTTTGTTGAAATGAATGTGAAGAATGGAGGGTACGATCTTGGAATGTAAAGCCACAGGAAATACCGTCTGGGAACACAGAAATCATCTGTCTTATCTGGAAGCCTGTCTCCAGAGTGGCAAGTGGAAGGACTGGTTGGAGGACAGAGTGGGCCCCGTGCTCTGGGGAGGGGGCTGCAGGGCAGGGGGGCCGAGATGTTGCTTTACCCCAAAACACCATGCATCACTGGCTGCCACTGAAGCTTAAAGACTGGTCATCTTGGGGATGCTCCCCTTGGTTTTGCCTCTGCCTTCCTGACATGCTTGAACTTGAGTTTGCTGTGAAGCAGGCCTGCAGCCAGGAGCCTTATGCATGATTCATCCTACAATTCTCTTATTATTCCCCCATTTACGGGGGGGGGGGGGGGCTGAGGCACAAGGAGGTTTGGTGTCTGATAGTGTATTTAGTTTTTGCTTTCCTCTCATCATCTCCTGGACCTTTTAAAATTGTGTTAATCGTATCTCCAAACCACACACCAGGAATATTAGAATTAGCAGGAAACTTCAAGCGCGACCATCTCAAACCCCTTGTCAGTTTACAGACATTTCAATAGCACTTTTCCAGTAAACAAAAATAAGTTAAGTTCCATTTACCCAGAAGCCAGATTCCCTGTAATCAGTTCTAAGCAAGGTTCTCCCCTGAGCAGGAGGACGCACAGGTGTAGTTTGGGTTGATTTTGTTTCTTTGAGGCTTTGTTTTTCAAATGTCTCAGGCCTTTCCTACTGCGGGAGAAACTGAGATATGATCATGAAAACCCTATAGTCCCCAAAAGTCCCCACATTAACAAAGGTGATGCTCCCCAGGGCTCAGGGGCAGTCAGAGCCTCTGCTCCAGATACCCGCCCTCGGTATGATTCTTGTTTCCTGTGTGAAGAACATTAAGGGCCCGTGAATGTTGTAAAATATAAATGCATGGAATTTCACAACCACTCAATAATCAGGTTTCTCCATTCTGATAGGAGTAAAAAGAAAAAAATCCAGAATTGGCAAATGTTAAATATTTCCTTGCCACTAATAATGCTTCCCCCTCCTTTCCTTCTTTCCCTCCTATAACTCTTCTAACGTGAATTTATTTTCTATTTGAAAGCCAATCTCACTGGTTATTAGATATTCTCCCCGCTGTCGCTATCAGTAAATTATTAAACAGCTGACCAAGCTTTGTTTTAAAATGATTCTCTTATGAAGCTCAGTGATACATTTGCCATGAATACTGAATGGCCCCGCGGTCCCTAAGGACACGTGAATGATTCCTGTTTACTACCTGTAGCAAAACGTGCGGGCAATTAGCAGTAAGAACTTGACTTGGATCATGGTCACGAACGAGGCCTGTACCTCATTTACCCGGCTCTCTCTTTACTCAATAGACTTCCGCCTGGGAGAAGCCTGTTCAGTTTCTAGCCCATGTCACGAAGTAGCATATAGACCTGCCTTTTGTCATTCCTCACCTCTTTTCTTGTCCCCCCACCCTTGGGCCTCCATATACCTGTGGGGATCCCCTCCTTATATAAAGAAGCAGCTGGTTTTGAGTGAATTTCCCTGTAAAGAAAACAAACTTGATCCCCATCAAGTTAACCTGACCTGTTTGTGGCTCCACTTCCTCATCTGCAAAATGGAAATCAGAATTCCTACCTCCTTCATGGAAACAGCGCTGAGCACAGTGCCTGGCAGGCAGTAAGCACTCAGGAGCTGGGAGCTACTTTTTCCCCCACTGACTCCCGCACAAGCCCAGACTCTCCAGGTTGTAAGCGACAGAGACCCAAAGTCACTTCAGCCAAAGAGGACACGCATTAGTTTAATCAAACATTGGTTAATCAATCAAGCTCTAACCAGGAAAACAGAAACTGCTTCGGGTATTTACAACAGGAAACTGGTTATACAGGTGATAGGGGAGCTGAGAGCCCCCAAAAGGATAGGAAGGTAACAGAAATACACACAAGCAAAAAGCCAGGGAAACAAGGGCACGTGGTCATACATGGAGGCGGGATCAGGACAGCTGTATCCAGGAAGAGCAGAAACCAAGGAGGACACTTCTTTGCTCCTGGAGAGAGAGGAAGGAAGTCCCTTGCATCTCCTTTCCCGCTGCCCTTCCAGCATCCCATCAGCTCCTCCCATTGGCCAGACCCAACTGGAAGCCAGCGGAAACAGGAGTCAGGGAAAACCCAACTCCAGATTGTCTGCGTCCACAGCATGTGCCGGTAACCACTCTAACATAATGTCTCCCTATATAACCCCATGAACACCACCCCCACTTGAGGATACCTGGGTTATAGTCCCTCCCCAGAGGCTGTGATCAGCCCTGTCCTTGGTCCTAAGGGATGTCAGGGGCCCCAGTTGGGTGGTGGGTTCTTCATTGCATTATAATTCCTGGGAATGTCCACCAGACGCGCTCCTGTGAAGCACCCTGCATCCAGCATGACGTTGTCAGCCTTGAGCACCCGTTGGGAGTTACGACAAAGAAGTGGCGGGGCTCCAGGGACAGGATGGTACCCTTAGGACTCAGCCCCAGGCGTTGCTGGGTCAGGAAGGACCAGGAGTCACTTGAGGAAAGCAAGCCTTCACTTTGCTCCCACGTGAATGTATTTTTTTAAAAAAAATAAACATTGAAAAGTGGATGCCGAATCTGGAAACCAGGCTCCGCGAGGCCCAAGTGCAGAATCCAGGTTGAATAATCCATCTGATCTTTCAATGAATGATCCTATTTTGCAGCAGGTTCTGGAAGCAATCTGCTGTATCTTGTTAGGAAATCTAAGTCTATGAATGAGGGGAGGTTCCGTGGAGACTGTGGAGTCAAGACTGGGTGCTGTTCACCCCCAGAAGCACTGGCTCGCATACCCAACCCTCCTTCCTCAGCGCCCGCGTCCCGAAGCCTCGAGTGAAAGAGCATCTTCTCTGTGGGAAAGATTTCAGTCTGTGGAATCCGTCTCTTGATAAGGCAGTAATTACTGGGGCAATTTTCACAGATACAAAGGCATTTTTAAATAATTTTAATTATTCAAAGGCCTGATTAATTATCTAGCCCCTGCATCAGAGGCCAAAGAGGGATAAAACTGTATCAAAACGGCTGCCGTGCCGGGGGGCGGGGAGAATTCAGTGCCCTCTTGCAGAAAGCTCCGCTCTGACTCTGCAGCTGCAGTTCTGAGCCCTGTGCGGTGCTCAGAGGGTGGGCCCTGGGCTGGACCTCAGGAGGCCTGGGCTCCAGGCCTGTCTCCACACTGACCTCTGCATTCTTGTCTAATTCCCTTCCCCTTATCAGAACTCCATAAAACTAGTGGGGGGCAAAGAGAGGGGGGTACAATAGATGGCCTCTGGGACTCTGTCAAGTGCTGACATTCTATTGCAACATGGGACCTTTTTAAAGTATGGGAAATTTTTCTAGGACAATGAAAATCCAGGCGAAGTTCATGAGCATGGAAGGGCTCTGATCATACTTGAGGTTGAGGTTGGACGCCTATGAGGACTAAATTAGTGTGGGGAGAGACCTGTCAGGCAGATGGGTGTGTCCCTAAATAAATGCCTACTCTTGGATGGAAAAACGTCACCCCCATTCACTGAGCGTTTATTGAGCACCTCACATGTACCTGTGGCCCTGCGTGCAGCATTGTAGAGACGCAGGCTCTGCCTTCAAGTGCTTGCTAGGGGAAGGATGCCTTGCTCAGAAGGTAGTCCCACTGATGGTCTATTTGCATGATGACATCAGAATATTCTAGAAGCAGAGA